AAACTACAACTAAAAGACAAAACGGACATTACCCAGAACCACTGGAAGGCTGGCTGAGTGGAAATTCTACAACTAAAAGGAAAGAGAAAAGCACACTGAGACTCAGAGGAGGTGCGGAAGTAAAGTGCAGAGGTATGGAGGTGCACGCAGAAAGGGCTGGCAACTGAGGACACGGTTGTCTTTTTCAATCGGGAGGGAGACACAAGCTCCCGAATGAACTGAACTCCAGTTCCGGGTGAGTCTCTGGGGACCCAGACTCATACAGGGAGAAACTGTACTATCTGGCTTCAGGTGGAATTCAAGGGCGGCTTTCTCTCAGAGGTGCTTGCAGCCATTACCAGGACACTGAGACCCGGGGCCTCTTAGGGCAGGGCTGAGGATCAGCCATAGCTGTTTGCCCTGCCCTGTTGATTCCCTGAGACCCTTCCCCACCCAAGCTGTGTGCAGAGGCTTTTGCATATGAATAGCCTGGCCCTTTGCAATCTAAAATTACCTAACAAACTGCAGCTGGGTCAGAGAGACCCAGAACATCCAAAAGAAGGCCCAAGGCCCAAGGCCCCAGGCCCCAAAGCAGCTTGCATTGCTTCATAGCTGGGCCTCATCTGGGCACCTCCAAACCCCAAACAAAGAAGAGGAATCTGCAGATCTCTCCATAGCTCCTGCTGGGTAGCCTCAGGCAGAGGCTTAATTAGCACCTCCTTAGAAATCCAAGATCCAGTGTACCCAGTGGTCAGAATGGGACCATCCAATTACAACTCCTCAGATCCATAAGGGACACACTCAGGGGGCAGACTCAGTGAGCACCAAAGCCCCACTGAAGCAAGTCTTGCCTCATAAGGGTGTCTCCAGCACAGAAGTTCTCCCACTGTAGACACAGCTGATTCTCACAGCCAATTGGCCTGGAAGTCAATTCCGCCCAGTGATACCTACAACCATCAAGGCTTAACTATAAGATTGTGCACAAAGTCCACAAAGGGGTGCACCAAGAGTGTCCACCTCAGGTAATTGGGGAGGCTGAGCCACTGGGCCCTAGGCCACCTAGCACAGAAAGCCACTCTATCAACATAGGGAAGCAGCCAAAATGCGGAGACAAAGAAACAGGTCACAAATGACAGAAATGGAGGAAGGCAAACTACTGGATATAGAGTTCAAAACCACAGTTATAAGGTTTTTCAAGAATTTTCTAGAAACCGCCGATAAATTTAGTGAGACCCTCAAGAAATCTAGTGAGACCCTCGAGGTTATGAACAAGGACCAACTAGAAATTAAGCATACACTGACTGAAATAAAGAATATTATACAGAGATCCAACAGCAGACTAGAGGATCGCAAGAATCAAGTCAAAGATTTGAAATATGAAGAAGCAAAAAACACCCAACCAGAAAAACAAAAAGAAAAAAGAATCCAAAAATATGAAGATAGTGTAAGGGGCCGCCAGAAGAAGAGAGAGAGCAAGATATTGAAAACCTAATTGAAGAAATAATGACAGCAAACTTCCCCTACTTGGTGAAAGAAATAGACTTACAAATCCAGGAAGCGTAGAGAACCCCAAACAAAAGGAATCCAAAGAGGACCACACCAAGACACATCATAATTAAAATGCCAAGAGCAAAAGACAAAGAGAGAATCTTAAAAGCAGCAAGAGAAAGACAGTCAATTACCTACAAGGGAGTACCCATAAGATTGTCAGCTGATTTCTCAATAGAAACTATGCAGGCCAGAAGGGAGTGGCAAAAAATATTCAAAGTGATGAAAGCAAGAACCTACAACCAAGATTACTCTACCCAGCAAAGCTATCATTCAGAATTGAAGGTCAGATAAGGAGCTTCACAGATAAGAAAAAGCTAAAGGAGTTCATCACCAACAAATCACTATTATATGAAATGCTAAAAGGTATCCTTTAAGAAGAGGAAGAAGAAGAAAAAGGTAAAGATACAAATTATGAACAACAAATACACATCTATCAACAAGTGAATCTAAAAATCAAATGAATAAATAATCTGATGAACAAAATAAACTGGTGAATATAATAGAATCAGGGGCATAGAAAGGGAGTGGACTGACAATTCTTGGGGGGAAAGGGGTGTGGGGGATGCAGGAAGAGACTGGACAAAAATCGTACACCTATGGATGAGGAGAGGACACTGGCGGGGGGGGTGGGCAGAGGGTGGGGTGGGACCCGGGTGGAGGGGAGCTATGGGGGGGGGGGGACAACAACTGTAATAATCTGAACAATAAAGATTTAATTTAAAAAAAAAGATGGAGTGGGGGAGGATTGTGCATGTAGTATAAATTCAGACTTCTCAATAAGGAAGGGGGTTGGGCTTACCTGGGAGGAAGAGGTGCCTTTTCTTTTTCTCACAAGGTACCTGCTTCTTTGCAATCTCTGGATTAGATGATAGAATTAGAGCATTAAAGCTGGAGATACTTGATGTGCCATTTAAGGGTGACCTTTTAATTTTTTTATTTTTGGGGCATCCTTATAAAAACTTGTAGACCAGCATACTTTGCATACTACACACCCAAATTTCTAACAACCCAAGTTGCTCATCTGCTAGGCCTTATTCTTCCAGCAATGGCAATGGATTGTTTAATGATAAATCTGTGACACACTGTCATTAATAGTGCTAGACACCTGTGTTATGACCAACTAACAGACCCAGCAGCAACAGCTTTTACTTATTGAGCTTATTCAGTTTTGAAAAACCTTCTTTCAATATTTTGGAGAAGTTATTTGTGGAAGTAGGCTGGGCAGGGTTATCTGTGCTATGTGTATTTAACTGATAGCTAAGCATCTCCTCACAGGTGACAAAAATCCTGTAATACTGCCCTTTCTAGGACTCTCCTCTAGCCTAAAAACAAGCACACAGCCTGGCTGGCATGGCTCAGTGGTTGAACGTTGACCTATAAACCAGGAGGTCACGGTTCAATTCCCAGTCAGGGCATGTGCCTGGGTTGTGGTCTCGATTCCCCAGTGTGGGGTGTACAAGAGACAGCCAATCAATGATTCTCTCTCATCATTGTATGTTTCTCTCTCTCTCCCTTCCTCTCTGAAATCAATATATTAAAAAGTAAAATAAAAACACACACACAGAGGGCAGTATGTGGTGATACTGAGTACACCAGGCTGGGAACAAGGAAATCTGGTTTCTAATAGAATTCCTGCAACTAGCTAGCTATGTAGATTTTTTCTAAGGTTGTTCTATTTCTTATGAAAATGGCTTCAAGTAAAACTCATGCTTATAAAACCAACCATTGGTGTGAAGACTGGTTTAAGACTTTTAAAAATTGATAAAATGTTACAGTACAAAATCAAGTAGTTCCTAGTGAGGTTTTTGTCCCATAATATGAAGAGGTCAGAGTAGGTATTACTGGCATATATGGGCTATCTGGGAACTCTCTAGTTATTATAAATCTATTTATGGCACAAAAATACGCAGTTTCCAGTGCTACTCTCTTCCTAGCTATTTTCTCAAAACCAACTCACTGGGGTTTGCTATAAATAGTTCATGTCTATGATGCAAAGTATTAATTGCTCCCTTTATAAAAAATCAATTTTTTAATAAGACTGGATAAAAAAGTGATGGAGAAAACATCATCATCAAACGTTTGTTTGAAATTAAATAAAAAGATGTTTCCTATCTAGTCATTTCAAAAGCACTTTATAACTGTTTTCTTCAATTTATGTTCAAGTGATTTTACAGCAAAAAGATAAGCATACATAACTTATTTTCATTAAACTTATTTACTAATAATCATCTTAAACAAAGGGGGACTGATGTCTAACCACTATGCTGTACACCAGACACTACTACGAAATAATATTGAATATAAACTGTGATTTTAAAAATTAAAAAAATAAAGGGGGGGGCTGAGAAAGATAATGAAATATAAACTTAAAGGCTTTAAATGCAGATGTAATACAGATGAAAGCTTGTACAGCAATGTCTTATTTATATTTGCTGACTCCTGTTGCTTAGTGGGAGAAGCCAGGCCTGCCACCCAGTGGCAACATCTTTTAAAATGATTTTAAAATAATTTTAAGATTAAAAAAATATTTTTTTAATAAAACAAATTAAAAAAAAAAATCAGCCCTAGCCAGTTTGGTTCAGTGGATAGGATAGAGTTACGGGTTCAGTTCCGGTCAAGGACACATGCCCGGGTTGCAGGCTCGATCCCTCGTATGGGGTGTGCAGAAGGCAGCCAATCAATGATTCTCTTTCATCTCTTTCTTCCTCTCCCTTCCTCTCTGAAATCAATAAAAATATATATATATATATATATATATATATATATATATATATATATATACATATATATACATATATATAGTATAACTATGTGTATATATATTTATATTCTAAACTCATACATTAGATGACTTCAATTTTAGCATCAGTAATTCTGATGTATTAAGTGTTTGCTTATAACATATTAGGAATGGAAACATTAATTTGCTTAGGCTGCACTGGGAAATTTTTCAAAATATATGACTTCTGTTTACAAGTTTTGTGATTTTAGTAAGAACTGTCAATTAAAATACTGAAGGTTGCTTTGCTTAAATTTCAATCTACAGAATAATGGAGGGAGAAGCTGTGACCACAAAATACAACTGGTTTTCTTCTGTGACCTATAGAATTAAATTTAATACTCTATAGTAGCCTCTCATCCATACACCCAAACTTCTGCTTGGTAAACAAAAACATAACAGAAGCACTTGCAAAAATAAGATTTAAAAAATATTTTCTCTAACTATGAGTTCATCCCAGGTATACATCAATTTTAGTGTCCCAGTCAACAAAACTCAAGCTGAAAGGCGGAAATGGAAATAGTAGAAATATCATGCCTGATAATTATTGATGTTAAGGGATGGGGTGGGAGGGAGACCAAATATCTCACTGCCTCTTATTTACCCCAAATTTGGCCATAGCTTTTTTTACACTGGCACAGATATATCCTAACACAAGATGCTTTGGGGAAAAATAACACTAGAGCCTCCATTTACAGTTTGAAAAACGGCTTTGTTCTCTTGAATAACCAGATGAAAAAGAAGCACCCCAAGAAAGTCTTAGAAATTTAGATTTTTGTTTCCAACACTTGTAAATTAAAATTGTACAAGATATGTTTTCTAACCTATGTCCCATTTACAGTGAAGACAATAAATGAATTTTTAAAAATGGCAGACAAAACATACTTGATTGGTATTTACAATGGCTTATGACAAATATAATACCTAAAAATAATTTCTAATTTTCCATTTATTATTGCTATTTAGTCACAGAAATGATTAACACTCTCCAAGAAATTTATTTTAGCATATGTCATATATTGATATAATTTTATATGAAGAGAAACCATTGAGAAAGTGACTAATATGGTGCCCTTACAAGGAAATAAAAGAGAGACAATAAGGAAATTCTTCCATAAAAAGACTTTTGATTTGCATCATTTTTTCAAAATATAAAACCTTATTATTAGAAGCAAAGAAAAAAACAAAGGAAACAATAAAACAGAAGACCAAGGAAAAAGAATCGCTTATGCAGATGCTTTGCATACGTAGTATATATGTATGGGCTGAGTTATAATAAAAATACTTATGTATTATAGTCATTCTCATATAGAGTTAGAAATAGCAATATCCAATCAAGTATGATTGGACTGACAGTTTCTCAGTCTTCAATTACATGACGAATTAGAGCTGTGCAGCAATCATTTCTGGTCAGCAGTATCATGATAAATGCTTGATAAGATATAATTTTTCTCCTTGTTCACTTGTAAAAATTGGTGCCTTTTTGTAATGTTCTACAAGTTCTTCCATGGTGCTGAATTTACGCTGCCCAATGCAGTAGACAGTCTCTTTTAGTTGGACTTTAAAATGCTTGTTTTTCCCTTGTGCTTTTAGTGATACTGAGAAATCATTTGGCTAAAAGAGAAAAAACATGTAGGGTAAACATTTTGAAAGACATCTGTTAGCATTTTTATATTAAACTAATAACGGTTAAAATGTGAACAGTTATTAGGTGCTAGGCACTATGCTAAATTACTTATGCCTCAAAACAAACCCATTTTACTGATGAGAAAATTGAGGCTGAGAGAAGCTAAATTGTCCAAGATCATCCATCTAGTTAACAATAGTCAGGATTGAAACCCAAGCAGTAAGACTCCAAAGTCTCAACATGTTCTACCTAACACCACAGCAAATCCTTTAGTAATATCTGAAGCACATCTGGAGCTATCTTCTCTCCAGTCAGACTACTAGAGAAAACCCAAGACATCTACATCTACCCCTTTTCAATTAGTAACAAATAGTAGCTGTCTTACAGAGTAAGGGGGGAGGGGGGGGAAAAAAGTGACAGGGTAGATAGAGGGAACTACAGTGCTATTCTTCCCTATCAAACACCTGCTCTTCCTGAGGGGATATGCAAGGCCCCAGTCTAAGGGAGGTGGCCACTTAGCTGTGACTGCTGCCTTGTAGGAATATGGACTTAATGTTGACAGGTCTTCCAATTTTAAAAGGGAGGTCTGCTATCTAAGTTTTTATAATTAATCTCCCAATATTTAAATGCTGACAATATATTCAAATGTTTTTTAAAAACACTGTGCAGGTCAAACAAAATATGCCTAAGATCTCTACTTCAAAAACTCTACTGCTAAAAACAATGGTATATTTTGGTTAATATCTATGTTCAATTAGCCACAAGAAAATAAACAGTATTCTTTAATTAAGCTACTTCCTTAACTTCCTTAATTAGACTTTTTAACTTAACACTCTTTTGAATAGTCAGTATTAACCCCAGAATCCTCTTTTTATCCAATTACTGCCAAAGCTTCAAACAGTGGGCTACTTGGAAACATCCCATACTTTACCAATCACTCCAAGGTCACTCCCTTCCTAACCCCCACTGCTTGTCCTGGAAAGCAGGGCCAGGTCAGGCATCCAACCACTTCCCTATCGTCAATCACCTGCTCTTCCTGGGGGGTTGGGTATGCATGTTACAGGCTCCATTTCCTGAACTTTAGACTTTGGCAGTTCAGTCATTATCTTTCCTCCCTCTATCCCTTCCTTCCTCTTGTGCGCGTGCGTGCGTGCATGCATGCATACACACACACACACACACACACACACACACACACACACACACACCTTGCACCAGATAGCTAACTTCTGACTTTTTTTCAACCTTTGTACAATCACACATTCACTTTTGTACAACTACATACACACAAACAAAACCAATACTAATCATGATTTGAAAAGTGGAAACACAGTGGTATCCTTTATCAAAGAAAAATAAAGGCCATTTTTAAGGGAAATGAGTATCATCAAATTCTAAGATCCCTAGACAGTACCCAAGAGTCCACATAACTATTTTTTATGGTTTATAGTTCTATTAGTATTAGAATAAAATTTAACTTTTATCACAAGTGCATTTTAAATACCATAACCATTTAAAAAAAGTTTTTGAGGTACATAATAAAAGTGTATTCCAATTTCTAAACAAGCAATTTATGAAGAAACTTAAATATAAAATTTTTAAATTTAGGAATTCCCTTTATTATATGGACAACAGTGCATCCAATATGCAATTTAAGAAATGTTTCAAAACAAATATTTTCCTAGTTTCTCCCTTTTTCAGTTTAATGCAACAGAAAATAATTCAGGAATGCAAAACCAACAGTACTAGACTAGACCAAATAATCCAGTAGAGTATCACTACTAGGGCTGTATTTTATTCAAAATAAAGTTGGAAAAAACGTTGACTTAAGCTTCAGAACATTTATAGGGAAGCCAATTAACCTCTCCAATTTTTTTAATACGCAGTGCTCTACTTCCATTTACCTTTGAAAACCAACTTACCGAAGACTCACTATCACGAATGAGGAAATCACCTTCATGCCCCCTTTCATTTAATGCCATTTCTGCTTGATGCCTGGTGACTTTCCCATAATACCAAGGATTGCCAGCAAACTTTCCAGTGAGTGAAGGCCTAATGTAATCACACTGTGGAGGTGATGGTTCCAAACCTGAGGTTAATGGATTATTCTGCATAATGGTAACGTAGTTTTTCGGCACCAGACCAACCATTCCATTGATCTTCCTGCATTTCCACCACTCGGGGTCGTTTTCAGGTTTTTCAAGAACATCCATTACATCTCCTTTCTCAAAATTAAGTTCTTCATCATTGGATGAGCTGAATGGGTAAAGAGCCTGTACCACATGCAACACTTGCCCAGTATTTAGGTTATTGACGACTGCTGCTAATTTCTCTGACAGAGAACCCACATGGTCACCCAAAGGACTGTCACCTTCCTCAGTTACATAGTTTGAAGGGAACCATCCAACTTGTCCATTGTAGCTACCTCGCCACCACCCATCACTGCACTTCTCCATGACGATCACCTTCGTCCCTTTTATCAATGATAATTCATCCTCTCTCTCTGCCATGTAGTTAAATTTCACATATGCAGGCATGTTGAGGTCATAGAGACGTTCCCCTGGGTCAACAAAGCTATCATCAGCAGGAGATGCAGAATCTGGTACACTGGGTTTTCTTTTCACTTTTCCAATGCCTGTTTAAATTAGAAAAAAAAGTAATGAGAAAACAAAACAATGATAACCTAAAAAACCAATTTGCTCATTAAGAAATCTTTGACTAGTTTTGTAAGCCTTTAAACTTAAATAAATTCCTCTTTCTTTCTTTCCACCCACCCTCTTCTCCCCTTCCTTCCATCCCCATGACTAATAACTAGAAATTTGTACTTTTTGACCACCTCCTTTACCAATTCTCTTTTCATAACCACTTAACTGTAGTTATATGAAAATTTACCTTTTCATCTTTTTTCTTATCGAAGACCCTAAAATAACTGCACAATTATAAAATTGTCCTAAATTAATGCATTTTCTCTGAAATGTAAATACAGATTATTTCTCTCATACCTACAATCTAAGTACATATATAAAGGATCCACCAAACCCATCTTCTTCTTGTCTTATTTTTAAAACCTAGATTTTTATAATTGAAGTAAATAATAAATTAATTTACAACTTGATGTATACAATATAAAATTGTAGTTATGTCTGGGTAATACTCTCATTTGCTTTCTTAGTTCTAAGACCCAAGTTGCTCTTATTTGTTTCCTATGTTTATTTTAAAATAATATATTATTTGTTTGCTTCCTCTCATTCCATTCACATGTAAGCTCCACAAGGGCAGGGATTTTGTTTACTTTGTTCATGGATGTAATCCCAAGGATCTCACAATGGGTGATTAATATAAACTTGTTGAAAGATATGAAAAAATCATCAAATGGTGCCATCATCACAAATGTTACATCAACTCTAATCAGGCATTTTCACCACTGCTCATTTCTTATCACATGATTTTATATTCTATTTTTAGCAAGAAAACGAAGGCATTCCTAGGTAAAATTTTTCAAATACCTTCTCACTCTCTCAAAACTTTCTCATTACCCATAGTCCTTTTCTTCACCCAAGTTTCTAACTACTGATCCTTCTGGGTTCTTGCCATCTTTACTGCCTCTTTTATGACACTTGACCATCCTTCTTTCCTTTCTACTCTATTGTTTAAAACCACACTCAGATCACCTCTATTCTTAAATAATTTTATTTCAACTCTGCTACTCCCTTTAAACTATGCCATTATTTAAAAAGTTGTCTTCCCTTTTTCCTTCCATTTTTTCGCCATTCACTCCTAACTTCTTATATTAAATTTTTCTTCTAAACCTTGTTATAAAATTGCATTCTATTTGTTTACTAGTCTGTCTCCTTAATAAGAGAATGAGCTTCCCTCGGATAGAAAACGATTTTATTACCTTGTATCTCCAGTGCTTAGCAGTACAGCACCTACACTAGTAGTAGAAACAAAGTCAATTTTTGTGGATGAATCCAAAGGTGAATGATTCCTTAGTTTAAAGTGTTTCCTGAGATGTCATGCTTGGACTTCCCCTATACCTCATTTTCATTTTCATTTTCTATAACTTCTGTATAGAAGGTTCCAAGGTCTCTTTACAGCTCTAAGCTTTTTCTGGAATTCAAGCACTACAATTCCAATTGTCACTAGATATCTACAGAATGTACCACAGCACCTCAAATACAAACACCCATGTCCAAATAAAATATACATAAATCAACTCCATTCCTCCTGATTTTCTTACTTCTGATTAGTAGTACCACCATCCTTTAAAATCCTCACATTAGAATTCCTATGGAGTAGAAAACTCTAGGCCTCCATCCATCCACCAAAAAGTAATGAATGAGCTGGCAAATATGGTCAGAATCAACTTTTGCAGAATTCTGGAATGTAGTAAAAAACTAGGGCCAGATTTAGGGAAGAAAGAAGGTGCTGCTTTGTAGCATAGAGAAAGCAGTGGCATTTTAAGTTGCTTGCCAACAATCACTGATATCCCCAATCAGTAGTGGTTGTGAGAACAGCAATCTGCACTCCTAATGCCAGAAGAAGCACCAAAGATCTTATTCTCAAAGAACTGTAGTTGTGGGTTTCAATCTATCTCAGCTACCTGAAGGACCAGCACAATGGCTTGCCTTGGTTTCACCTGACTTAGAGCATTCCCAGGGCAAGAGTGTCTTTTGCTGAAATCATTAATTGATACAGTAGTCTGGGGAAGTGACAGCAATTGGGCAAGAAACAGACATTAAAAACCTGAGAAAGAAGAGTTTGTGAAAGGATATACATGGGGTAATAAGGGCTTTTAAAAGTTGCTGTGTATACCAGATAATCAAGATTTCTGAAATACATCCATACTTAAATGGTCAACTGATTTTCAACAAGGAGGCAAACATCATTCAATGGGGAAAAGAATAGTCTCTTCAACAAATGTGCTAGGACAACTGGATATCCACATGCAAAAGAATGAAGTTGGACTCCTACTTCACAACACATACAAAAATTAACTCAAAATGGATCAAAGACACAAATATAATAGTTAAAACTTTCAGAAAAAAACATACAGTAAAATTTTCATGAGCTTGAATATAGCAATGAATTCTTAAGATTTGACACCAAAAAAGCACAAGCAAAAAAGATAAATTGTACTTCATTAAAGTAAACATTTGTGCAAAGACTATCAAGAAAATGAAAAGACAACCTACAGAATTAGGAAAGAATATTTTCAAATCATATTCTGTTAAGGGTATATATTTTAGAACATATACATGTTAGAACCAACAACAAAAAGAAAAATCCTATTTTAAAAAATGGGCAAAGAATTTGAATAAATGTTTCTCCAATGAATATATGCAAATGCCCAAAAAGCACATGAAAAGATGCTCAATATCATTAGTCATTAGGGAAATGTAAATCAAAACCACAATGCAATACCACTTCACACCTACTGGGATGGCGATAATAAAACCAAACCAAACCAAGCCAAAAAAATAAGTAAGGGTTGGTGAGAATATGGAGAAACTGGAACTCTTCTTACATTGCTGGGCAAAGTGTAAAAAGGTGCAAGTGCTATGGAAACAGTTTGATGGCTCCTCAAAATGTTAAACACAGAATTACCATATGATCCAATAATTCCATTCCAGGTGTAGGCCCAAAAGAAAAAAAAAGGTATTCAAATACTTGTACACAAATGTTCACAGCTTCACTATTCACAATAACCAAAAAGTAGAAACAACTTAAATGTCCATCAACAAATGAATGGATAAACAAAGTGGTATATTCATATAATGTAACATTATTCAACCATAAAAGGGTTGAAATAGTGATACATGCTACAACATGGATGCACCTTAAAAAGTGTGCTAAATGAAAGAAATTGGACACAAAAGGTCACATATTATACACATTTATATTAAATAGCCAGAATAGGTAAATCCCTATAGACAGAAAGCAGATTAGTGCTTTGTAGAGGCTGAAGGAAAGGGGTAACAGGGAGTGACTGCTAATCAGGGATGGGTTTCCTTTTGGGATGATAAAAATGGTTTGCAATCAGATAGATGTAATTGCGCATCATTGTTAATGTACTAAACAGTATTAAATTGTACACCTTAAAAAGGTTAATTTTATGTTATATAAATTTTACCTCATAAATTTTTTTCTTAAAAGAGTCCCACATCAGAATCTATAAAACAAAATAAAAAAACAAGCAAAATAGAAATAAATAGATACTGAAAACATTTTTTTCTTCTTGATACTCCTCTCCTGAGGATATTTTTTTCCACTGATTTTTTAAAAAAGAGAGTGGCCCCTTGCAGTAACCGGTTTGGCTCAGTGGATAGAGCGTCGGCCTGCAGACTCAAGGGTCCCAGGTTCGATTCCGGTCAAGGGCATGTACCTTGGTTGCGGGCACATCCCCAGTGGGAGGTGTGCAGGAGGCGGCTGATTGATGTTTCTCTCTCATCGATGTTTCTGACTATCTCTCTCCCTTCCTCTCTGTAAAAAATCAATATTGGCTCAGTGGATAGAGCGTCGGCTTGCAGACTCAAGTGGCCCCTTAAATCAATTCCCTGAATAGATATTTCCACCTTCACGACTTAGTTTACCTTGTTGGGTAGTTTCTTACCCAAATCTTATTAAAACTTCTACCTTTCAAAAATCTATTCAAGGACCATTTCAAATTAACAACTTTATTATTTTATTCATCTTTCCACTCCATGTTTCTCAATATCCTTCATTTCCCACCTTCACTCTCAGTAGTGAGCAACTTCACTTCTTTCCTTTTTTAAGAACTCTAGGGAAGGGCACGTGGGAGAGGAAGGTCACCACTGGGGACTCTTCCTCCCTCCTGCCCCAGAAATGTCTTCACTTTCAGAATATGCCTTGCGCATGACTCGCCTGAGTGCCCGGCTATTTGGTGAAGTTGCCAGGCCTACTGATTCCAAATCCATGAAAGTGGTGAAACTGTTTAGTGAGCAGCCTTTGGCCAAGAGGAAGGAGACATATGACTGGTATCCAAATCACAACACTTATTTTGCGCTCATGGGGACACTGCATTTTTATGGCCTCTCCAGAGAGGAGCATCAGGACTTCAAGGAGGAGCAGAGACGTCTGAAGAAACTTCGTGGAAAGGGGAAACCAAGGAAAGGAGAAGGAAAAAGAGCAGCAAAAAAGAAATCGTGTTTGTCAGTGCGGAGAGAAACTTCCTCCTCTGCAACTGAGAGCAGAAGCAAGAGTTTATTCTCTTTCCCCATGTTGAATGAGGAACACAAATGCTCCGTGTTGAAGTCTGATCCAGTTAAAGTGTGACCGGTTTCTTGACCACATTCTAATTCTGCAAAGTTATTTTGGCCTTGGTTTTGTAATCTGAGGTTTACCACATTCCCTAAAGAAATGAATGCAGCCTAGCCGGTGTGGATCAGAGGCTGAGCACTGACCCAGGAACCAAGAGGTCATCGATTGGATTCCTGGTTGTAGGCTCAATCCCCAGTGGAGGGCATGGAGGAGGCTATCGATCAATGATGTTGCTCTCTCACTCATCAGTGTTTCTCTCCCTCTCCCTTCCTCTCTCTAAAAATCGATAAAAACATTTTTAAATGTATATATATAAAAGCAAAAAAACTCTAGCACCTTATATTTCTGGAATCC